GAGGAGTAACAAAGCAAATGGCCCCGAGGAGGTCCTAGCTGCTGCTGCACGGGCTGGAGAGGGAAGAAGGAAATATGCAGTATTAGAGGACATGGATCTGTTGGGAGGCAAATGCTAACAAGTGACAAATGTTAGAAATCCAGACACTTTTCCCCTGTACCTGTATGAGCAGACGCTTCCCACTGGTATGTGTTACAGCAAGAAGGATCATATGGAAAATAAGAGGGATTCTTTAATCCCCCATTTCTTTTTCTGAATTTTTTTTTTTGCTGTTTTCAGCTGTTCCCTTTTTTTAGTCCCAGTAGTTCCCCAAGCAGATCTTAAGGTATCAGCAGAGATCTAACATTACTTATGTCTTCCTTAATGAGCCCATTGATTTTGTAATCCAGCAAACAGTATCTTTTCTATTTCCTGATACTGTAATGCGTTGAAGAGTTTATCTGTGCAGTAGCACACCTAAAAATGTAAGAAGAAACTGCAGTGTTCGAAATAACTGTTCAAGCAGTAGGCCTGTTTTCCCTATGAACCTGTTACTTCTCTGGGCCTCCCTGTACTCACCCTTAAATTCTAGACCCTGGCATGATAATTATCTATGGCTTTTTAAAATCCTGCTGACTTTCTCCCATCACCAGCCTGGGTCTAGATGCAGGCACTGTGCTGGCCAAAGTCTTGCAATTCACCTTCTGCAATTTAGATTCACTGCTTACCGTTAGGAAGACCTACTACTTTTAAATTGATGTAGCGTCTTTTGAGCCCCAAGAATTATATATACACTGTAGTATATGTGATGGTAGAAACACAGCTGTAGAGAACGCTAACAAAAAAAAAAAAAAAAAAAGAAGAAAAAAGCTAAAGAACTTCAGCAGAAAATGGGTAAACTCTGGCTTAAAACTGAGCATATCCTGGGTACTATGTTGAGAGGGTTGCTTCTGACTCTCTGGAGTCACTGAAGCTACTTAGAAATGAAGCATGAAGTGAAAAATTCCTGCAGAGATTTTCAGGCACCTCTGCCTCGTCACCCTGTGCTCTGTGCTCCTGTTCAGTACGTGAGGCAGCCTCTAAACACCACAAAACTCCGGGGCTTCTGTCAAAATGAGGGACAAGATGGTTTGCTAGCTGTAACTTCCATCACTAATTCATACTCGGTGAATCCTAGGATTTTTATTCAGTATTCATTCTGTGCCATATACTGCAGTCTCCGGGGGAAATGAGAGCGTCTGCCTGGTGTAAAAACTGGGGAAAAGCAGGGTGAGGCTCTGCCTGCTGGTTTGTAATTACTGCTGCTGCTGTTTCACCCGATGGCTCCAGCTGCGGTGGGGGCCCCGTGGCTCCAGCGCTGGAGGGAGGCTGGGACAGGACTGTGGCACCTGTGGGTCACTGGAGAAGGCACGCTCAGCTGAAATGAAGCAAAGCAGTGGCTTCCTGAGGATCACATCACAAGTCAGTGGTGGAGCCAAGGCTGGGAGCTGGACCAGCAGTCTGTGACAGTAACCCTCAGTAAGCAGCCCAAAAAAGGTGTTGAGTATGTCCAGGGAACAAGGAGAGGATAGCCCTCACCTCAAAGTCCTTAATTTCTGTTAAAAAGTGTATACCTATAAATGCTACATGTTTTTTAAATTACCTTTTCTGAATAATTTTGTTATATAGTGTTTCTTGTCTGTTTTTCTTCATTCATATTCATTCTAAAGATGAAAAAAATCCACCTTCGAAAACATTTCTTCCGCAGACCCTTTTCAATATCCCCTTCAGCTGGAATAAACCTGCTGGTGTGGCTATGCCATGCAGGTCGGCAGGGGATCTCTTACACCATGTCAGATGCCCCTCGGGCTCAGCGAGGTCTGGGGGGGATGCGGTAGGAACAGCTCTCCCACCACAGCTGCTCGGCTGCCCCATGTCTGCAGGTCACCAGGAGCTCCCAGCTGACTGTGGAGTCTCTCTGTGCTTTTAAATTACAGCTCCTCATTTGTCCTCACTTTGCAAGGTGTCCGTCAGTCTTTCCCTTGCCAGGAAGATAGAATTAAGACATTTTTCACTGGCAGGTGCAGACTTCCATTTCAGACCTACAGAGATGAAGGGAAGCCATAAAGAAATCCCTAATGTAATTCAGAGGATTGAGTTTTAAACCTCTGAGAAAAACTGTAAGTAGCAGGTATTGCTTACATATGCTTTGCGCAAGCTTCCTAGAATGTAAAACCAGAAAGAATAAAAAAGGATCACATGGAAGAAAATGTCCCTGGCTCCATTTCATCCAGCTCCACACCATCCTTTCCCAGAAACCACCCTTGCTCACCTTGGAAGGCCGTTCACACAGCTGATCCCGTATCCCTTTACAGTTTTGCAAAAATGACACCGTGCCATTCGCTTCCAGGAGAAATCCCAGACAAAAGCAGGGGGAGCCAAAAGGGCAAGGGAACACCACTGAACTCTCTGTGTGAAGTTCCCGTTGCACATGAGGACACGGGCACAACAGATGTGGCAGAGAACATTTTCTCCCAACCTCCCTGATCGTACAGCACTCAGGTGTCCAAACATCCCTAGATGTAAGAGCTATTTTGCATGAATACAACCACCTTTCAGCATCACTCTTCTTCAGTTAGAAGTTGGTGAACATTTTGTCTAAAGCTTTTCCTGTTGAGCCCTGCAAGGGCAGGTTGACCAAAGCCTGTCATGAGTTCACAATGAATCCATAGATGTCTTCAGGTTAAAACAAAATAATAAAATAAAAAAGAAAAGAAAAAATGGGAATGTTTCATTTGTCACTTTCAAAATTCAATGCTTTAATATTTCATTTTAGAATGACTATCCATTTCCAGAGGTACTTCAAGGTTACTCAAATCATATTTTAAAATGTGCAAAAAGGATTGAAACCAAATGTGTGGAAAACAAATTCAGTTTGTCAAAACATTTCTAAACTAGTAATTTCAGGCTGACCTCAAGTCACTTTCCTCCATTAACACTTGGATTTTAAGTTGACTGAAAAACAAGCTGAAAGTCCACCCTTTCTGCTATGACTGCAGACATTCACGCAAAAAGAAAGAGGGCACAATAACTTGTCTGTTCCATACAGCTGTGAAGCATTAAGTCATCTGTCCTCTGCCTTTTGTATCTCTGTATCTTCTTCCTTTGGACTCAATGCTTATAAGAAGAATTGGTGAAATATAAAGGATTGGTGAAATGTAGCAAAGCACCAGTATGAAAGTGCAAAAACTGGTAAATTCAGCCATGTAGCCAAGTCTTACTTGGGCTGTTTTGCCCACTTTTTCCCAAGATACATGACCAGGTTTTGTTCTTTCAAATTTCCAAAGGATGCCTGGCTCTGTGCATCTGCATTTGCACAAGAGCATTTGGTATTTTCTCTTTTTTACCAAGTTTCCTTCATATGTCTAAAGAGCAGAAATATTACCAAGTGATGGGGAAACTCATGACGTGGCACAATTGATGGAGGCACAGTCAAGGCTAGCAGCTTATGCCTCTGGGTCGAGGTCCTGCTCTGACCTCCTGTCTCCATGGCTTCTGGGTGCTGGGCACGTTTATGAAGTGCACTCTGTAAAATGCAACTCACTCCTTCTCCTCCAGCCAAAATCTTGGCTTCTGTCTCATCTGCCCTTTCCTCTGTCTTTTGCAGAAGGCAGGAGAGACCCGTAAGTTGAATGATGTGCTCATATTGCTCTTATTGAACGCTTGTAATTGTGAATGCAAATGGCACTTTTTATACATGAACAGAAAAAGGACTAAATTCACTGGATAAATTATTCACAACAGATAATTCAACCTGCTCTCGTGGGAGAGTGCAATGAATGTCTGATGATGTTAAAAAAACCCCCACAACTAATTCTACCAACCAGTGAAGTCAATGGCAAAACCTTTTACTGACTTCAAAGGGAGCAGAACCTAGCCCCAAGCCAGAGTGCCCACATACGACTTCTCTTTAGTGGTTCTCAGTTGCATTTAGACCGAAAACCCAGGCAATCGTTTGTTTTGAGGAGCCCAGGCTAATGCTGTATAGCAGAGTCGGGCTGCCAGGGCACATGCATTATTACAGCTCCGGTTGAAAGCAGGTCTGCTCTGCAGCCGTGGCGCAGAGCACTGCCCCCAAGCAGAAATAACCGAGCCTCAACAGAGAGCCAAGGTAGATGTGCCGTCTAGCAAGTTTGGAGCTCAGGGCAGGTTAGTTTGGCCAGGTTTGTCTAGTTTGGAGAAAAGGAGGCTGAGGGGCAACCTCATTGCTCTCTACAGCTTCCTGAGGAGGGGACATGGAGACGGAGGTGCTGATCTCTTCTCCACGGAGTGACAGGACACATCGGAATGGTTCAAAGCTGTGCCAGGGGAGGCTTAGACTGGACATGAGGAAGCATTTCTTTACCGAGAGGGTGGTCAAACACTGGAACAGGCTGCCTAGAGAGGTGGTCGATGCCCCAAGGCTGTCAGCGTTTAAGAGGCATTTGGACAATGCCCTTAATAACATGCTTTAACTGTTGGTCAGCCCTGGAGTGGTCAGGCAGTTGGACTAGATGATCCTTGTAGATCCCTTCCAACTGAACTGCTCTATTCTATTCTATTCTATTCTATTCTATTCTATTCTATTCTATTCTATTCTATTCTATTCTAATTTACATTGCATCTAGGATAGATTTGCAGCCAGTGAGGGGGTTTGTGGACAAAGTGCCACTGGCCATCCCAACGTGGCTGTGCTGCTGGCCAGCATCCCCGTGGCAGCGCACCATGGGCATGATTTGGGGGCTGTGACCGTGTGCAGTGGATGCAGGGTCTGGAAAAAGGCTTGTGTGAGGACTGCTGCCGTGCTCCCCCTCCCTGGCAGGGGAGGCGAGCGGAATGAGGGCTGCGCTGTGCCCCAGCTCGTGCCACTGATCCCCTCCAGTTGCCGGTGGTGGGGACACGTGGCCTTGGGCACTGGGGAGAAACAGGGACACGGGGATGGTGCGAGTCGTCCTGGCAAGGGGGCAGAGGGGGAAGTGAGGGACGCCTCTGACCCCGGGGGTATGTACCTCCTGGGTTCGGTCTGGGTATCCCATGTTTCCACATGCCCATCCCTGCCGTGTGGTGCATTGTCACCTGCAGACTGTGTCGTCCCCCCCGGCCCCCCGCTTTCTCTCGGTGCTGCTGGTGCTTTGCTGCACTCCACAGCCCGTGGTTGTAGTCATGCAACGTCCGTGGTCTAAAGCGCTGTGTGACAGCGTCGGGAGGACACAGGAATGATGCAAAACGCTCTTGTAAATAAAAGCTGAGCTCTGCCTGCCCGGGTGCCCGTGTGCGGAGCCGTGACACCTCCCCGGGCACCTGGGTGCCCGGTTTTGGCTGGGAGAGGGGAAGAAGAGGCGGCGTGAAGCGGCGACGGGGCGCTGGGCTGGGCTGGGCTGCAGCCGGGCGAGGAGAGCG